ACAGGTACAAATGAAGATGTATAAAACAAAAAGAAAGTTTTTTTTTTTCAGAGCCAAGGTATACACATACACACATACAGAAGTACAAAATTGGGCAACCTGGAAGGATATATCTGAATGGTCAGACAGGAGAAGGGACCAATAGAATTCATGCTTTCTGCAAGGCAATTTCTTCAGGTTAGGATAAATATCGTCTGGGATTCCCTGTAGAGAGAGCAAAGGAACCCCCCCCCCCGAACTCCATTGCGTTGCTCCCCCACCAAGTATAAATACATTAATAAAATAGAATATTTTTGTAGTGCCCCAATAAGACAGCAGAGGACACTGCATCCATCTTGGCCAAAGTGAAGACCCGGCAAAATTTCAGGACTGTGATAGATGAGAGGTAGAAGACTGGCACATGCCCATTAAACACCCAATGATGAAGAACCAAACAATGCCCAAGACTTTTCTTCAGAAATGATCAACTCTGAGAGTTCCAATGCCTTTTTTTCCTGGAATCCCCTTTCAAAGAAGACCATCAACTTAAAAAGTACTTTGAGACAGCTGATACCAAGCACCAAAATTGAAGGAACAACTTCTTGTCCTACCGAAATTTGATACTGTGCTGCTTCATTATGAACTGAAGATGCTAAGCATCAATATATCTGGCACGACTGTCTGAAAGCAAACTAAATTTCATTCTATGTTTATTTCTTGTAACTAAAAGAAAAATATGTATTTTTCCATTCAAGCATGTTGCTTCTCACTGTCATAGAAATGAAATAAAACTGATATACAGAATGATTTTAAAAGGCTTCTTTTTATTTCCATGATTGCACATTGGCAATTAAATAATATCTCAACACACTTATAAATGGGTATGTATGCTGCTAAATAGTTAAGGACATGGACTAATGGGAGGGATTTATTTAACTGTTAGCAGTGTAAATCATTTTGTATGGACAGATTAAGGTATTTTGGCAAAGACCTTCTTATAGAAAGTACAGACACATTTCAAATAATTTGAAATTATGCTCCAGTTTCTGTATTTGCATGCTATTTTGGCCCATTTGCTTCAAAGGAATTATAAAAAATAAAAATAAAACCAACATGAGGTCCATTTACTATCATTATGCATTATTTTCCAAAATATAAGTGAAATTTTGGCAAATAACATTTATACAAAAAAAAAATCCCCAAATCAATGTAAACTACAAAATTACCCTCTAATAAATAAAAGTATGCACTTCATATTTCATATTTAGGTTGTTTCTTAATACAGACCAAAAGCAAGAGGCACAGAGATTAAATAAAGTGGTGAATATGGGCACAATATAGCTCAGACTAGTAAATTGCTTTTTTGGAAACAGCCATACATATGGGGCAGGTCTATACTTGCATAACTTCTGCTGCCCTAGATAGCCCTGCTGAAACTAATAGAAATAAGATGCTTTTGCAGGTGGACATCACATCTGGCATACACATTCACAGTTAGTTCAGCAAATACACATACACACACACTTGGTAGGGCTTGAACAGAACTTGTTTTGTGATCTCATCTAAAGACTATGTTGGGACAACAGTGTGGACCAAGCAACAAATCAGTGGAATGAAGTTTACTTCAGTTTTGTTTAGATGTCAAAATTAAGAAACGTGAAATTAAGAAACTGGTCAATAAGTACTTGCATGCAAATGCTTGAGGGTTAAAACAACTAGCTAGGACTAAAATCAAGTAATACTGTCCTCTCTAAAGCATAGGAATGTTGATATGCTCATTAAAAAAGCAAAACAACCCGTTTATGAATTGGGGAGTCTGAGCAAAATAAAAATGAAATTGCTGACCATATTGTGGTGGAGGAAATATGAATCAATATTTCCTCAAAAATTTGTAAGAAAGCAGGTAAGGGACAATTTAAGGGCTATATTTTCAAAAGTGGATTGTACAGATATCTATCATGTTCAATGTCATATTCACCATTTGTACATTCTCTGTGACACATACTTTAAAACTACCTAAACCATTTATTCCAGCATATCCCCATGGAGATCAGCTTGACTTTTCTGGAACAAATCATTTAAT